GAAGTTAAGAATCTAAGAAAACCTATTGTCAATAGTCAATGGAATGTTTTAGTCAATTTTGTAGATTACAATAATTTACCTTGTGAATTTATCTGTAATATGTGCTTGAAAAAATTTCGCACCAACGCACCCATCTCAACTTGCATTTTAAATTATTTGTTTGTTCCTAAAATACCAGAAGTACTTGCTTCTCTTAATGAATTTAATTTAATCCGATTACCGATTAAATTTTCATTATTTGTAATTAAAACAGTTTTGGGTCAAATATTTTTATTTTTTAAAGTATACAGTATAATATTAAATAATAAGCATAATATTATCATTGTTCGTTAATGAGTTATTTTCTTGTTATGATCCCATGTAGTTTATATTTGAAAAAAATAACAATTATAATATAATTATGATGTGTGTTTGGAACTATTATTAGATCTATTTCAGTAAACATATAAAATGCTATGAAAATATACATGATTATTATACTTCGTTGGCTAGTATTATCAGTCGAGTATTTTCTTTCTTCACATCATAACACCACACCTGTAACCTTGGATATGTCTCATTTTTTTTCTTTATATACATATGATCACATTTATAAATTGAAGAATTTATGCAAAATACGCGTTTATAGAAGTGCAATCGAATAACAACTGTTACTTAATCTCTTACATTTTTTTAATTACTAAGTAGTTTAAGTTAGTTATAATTACTTTAAGTACTTCTATTTTATCGAATAATATTTTTTATATTTTATTCACTTACGTTCGTCTACTTTTAAATTAAGAAAAATGAAATATTAAGACTTTATGAACTTGATGTAGTATCATGAAGTAAATATTATTTTGTATATTAACATAATTATTAAGATATTGAATTTCATTTCAAATTAAATAATTAATAAAATATTATCTTACTACCCTACCATCTTTTTCATTTAATGTGATAAGTATATAGGAATAAAAACTAATTATAAATCTAATCAAATAAAATTTACTCACTTTTTTCATAAAAAATTAATGTTGAATACCAAATAAACGAGTTTTTAAGTTATTATAATTTTTTTTTGTTTTTTTATATTTAGTCAAAATAAAGTAGTAGGGAGATAATATGTAGTATTTAAAAGCTATGCTGTAGAGAACATGTCATTAGTGGTTTGATCTTTTAAAAAACACGGAACCATAGTCAAACTGTGTAGAGTTTGAAGTTTGCTGGAGTTGATGTTTTAGTTGTGATTTAATATACTAAGACTCAATCAAACCTTTGTTTCTCGATAAAATCGTATAAAATGACTGCTGATATTGTAAACATTGTCTTCTGTCTTGTATGCGTTGTTGTTGCGATTGTGTATGGAGCACCTTCATCAAAGTTGCGTAAGTGCAAAATCTGTTTAATATAATATAATAGAACCCATATTTTTTAAAATGCTAAATTATACTTATTTTCTTATTTTTTCTTTGTATAGAGTAAATATAAAATAAATTAGGAAATAAACAAAATAATAGATATGGTACTTTGTTATAATTTACATTTTATTTATTTATTTTTTTTCGTAAAGAGAAAATAAAATTTAAAATTAAAATAAAAATGTATTGTTACAAAATGGAATTAAAAAATATTAGAAGTAAATATTTCATATAATAATAAGGTTAAATTTTCAAAACATTTGAACAATTAAAACTTTTTTACAATAAGTTTTTATTTTGATTTGATATATGATACATTTTAAAAATATTTATAATTATTAAGGGTTTAATAAAAAAAGTATGAAATTTGAAATGAGAAATTATTTCGAAGTCATGCGCTACATATTTCATTATCATTTATGAGAGTTATAATGATATTGGGTAAATAGTGTAAATACAAATCATGATACAACTAATACAAATAATATTATAATAACGTAGGTCCATTTTTATTTTAAATTCATTTTCCATTGTAATCCGAAATCAATTATTATAAAACTTTAAGATATTTATAAATAAATGGTTATAACAATTAATGAAGAGCTCGAATAAAATACATAATTTTAAATGTTTATTAATTATATTTATATTATTCATAAATGTAATTTAATTAGATTATGTATCACTTAATGTTTTCCTTCAAGGTGCATTTAATTAAGTGGATTACTAATATATTCTTTTCAAATATTGTATGATCTTTTGATATATGTAAATAATAATGTAATTTTTAGAATAACATTTGTTAAGAATTCATAGGTCTCCTTCAAGGATTCTTAACGGGGCCCATTTTGCTGCCAAAAAAAAAATGCCATTCAATGTATTTATAACGTCCTGGACATTATATTCAAATCCTCATTTTATTTTAAGATTTCGTACGAAAAATTAAAAATGATAATAATCTTTCTTATCTTGTGAAGTTTAACGATATCTGTAATATAGACAAAGTAGATGCTACTTCTGAGAACTTTTATTTAATCTTCTTGTCATAGGGAATGTGTGTGAATAAACTAATGTGTCTTGTAATCTGCTCCAAAGTTGTCATGTAAATATAGACAATGCTGAATGAGACTAAATTTAAGAATACATGAGCAAAAATATTTTCTAAATCCGTAGCTCTACATGCAATGAATTTCCGCACGGTCGAAAAAATAAACGCACCGTAGATCCATATTTTTAAAACCAAAAGTCCTTATGACCTAAAATTGTTTTAAATATCTAATACACGTGATCAGTGTAATACCATGTTGAAATCAAACTATTACATCTTTAAAGACATAAATAATCAGTATTATGTATCAATCATTTCCCATGTCTATTTTTGTTTAGTTCTGTGAATATCGTGATATGTGACTCAACAAAATGACACTGATCGGTAATTATACATTTTAAAAAATATTAAAAAAATAAATATACATTCAATATAAATATGAACAGTGATATTAATATTTTGTTTAGCTAAATAAAAAAATGTATAGTTAGTGAAAAATAATTTAAGTATTTAATTAAGTTTAAAATAAGTTTAAGTATTAAATTAAGTTTAAAATAAGTTTAAGTATTATTTAAGTATTCTAAGAATACCGAATTATTTAGAGAATACATACATAAAAAGCTACACAACATTTTCACCCGGAGTTTGGGCTAAAAAATAATCAACATTGAAGAAGATGATAAATAATTGTAAATCTTTTCATTAAATATTGGTGAATTTTGAATTGCTAAATTTGGTGAATTTTTGATATTAACATATCCTAATATTGCAATTTTTACCATAAAATATATTAGCTATGTAGAAAGATTATTACATTGGAATAAATTCTTTTAATAAAAGTAAAATTTGGATAGTTAAACGTGAGCAAAATATAATTTTGAATTTATATAGAATAAAATAAAATATATAATAAAAATGAAATAGACAGATATGAATAAGTAAAAGGTTTTCATTGATTACATTACATGCAATTCTTTTCACTAATTATTATAATTTTAAAAATATCTTTTGCAAAATAAGGTATCAAAAAAAAAATAAAAAAAATATTGTGTGTTGTTACGGTTTCGAAACAAAATTTGTTGCGGAGTTACGGTGCTATTTTAATGAATGGTGTCGATTCATGAGCAGCTCCTAAACTTAAATTATTTATCTGTCATCTGTAGTTCCATGTTTTCAATAAATCAGGAATAGTCAATGAATTCTTTATCGTTTGCGTGTGCTTGTAGTTTTGTTCGGTTTCGCTATTCAGCTGATAATACTATAATAATTTTAATTTTTCAGGAAGTAGTGTAATCCTTGGTAGGTTAATATTTCTAACTAAGCTCATAAATTGGCAAATGGATGCGCAAAACCTAAAAGCTGAGGTCTTTAGAGACAATTTTCGAAAATTTTATCCATTCCACGTTTTAGTGTATTGTCTTATTTATGAAATTTGTTTTACCGCATGTTAATTTTGTCAGGTTCAACTAACCATATCTCGTAAATTAATATAAAATTTATTACAATTTATCTTTCAGTATATGTTAAATGCATTATTTTTAGTATTATATTTTATGCTTAAGAATTATGTTTTGTCTTTTTTAAAGTACTATTTTATTTTTTATTTGTATTTATTGGCTTAACAGGGCAATTTAAGGGCCTAATCTAATTTAAAGACTTAACTAGTCTTCCAATTTTTATAACCCCGGTTTTAATAAACAATTTTTTAGTTTTGCGTTCTTTGTTCGTTTGTAATATATTACAATAATTAAATAAATACAAATGAAAAAAATGTTATTATTAACTACAATAATTATTAGTTTTAATTATGTTTTTTAATTTGCATAGTCTAGATCAAAACAATAAAAATATGAAAAATATTGATTTTCATTTTAATTCGACATACTGTTAATTTATGTATTTATACATTGTTACAGCAAAAGGGTTTAAACAATGCAAAAAGAGTGATCCTAATCTTAACGAATGTTTAAAGGATGGACTTCAAAGCGCTATTCCTCATTTGGTTAAAGGTAAAAGCAAAAATACTTACACACGGTCTCTCATTTTTATAATATATTTATTTTTATGTAGTGAACAATAAATAATAATATTTACATGTAATTTTTTTAGGCGTTCCGAGTTTAGGTATAATTCCAATGGATCCATTACGAATCACAGAACTCAAAATTGACCAAGGTTCTGGGCCAGTTAGTATTAAGTTGAATTTTAAAGATTTAGATATAATGAATCTAAAGATGTTGACGATAGATAAAATTAAGTGAGATTATATATTATCAATAAATATAGATACACAAACTAATTTTCAATAAACAATTGTAGGTACGATTCAAAAAAATACATATTATATATTGAGGCATTACCTAAACAATCAATAGTTCTGCAAGGAAATTATGAAATAACAGGAAAAGTTCTTGTTCTTCCAATTGTAGGAAAAGGAAAATGCAAAATTATTTTGGGTAGGTAACAACAAAATAAACTATTGTTTTATTCACTTATATGAAATTTCAATGTATGGATTATTATATACGTAATTATAAATATGTTGGATTTTTCTTAGATATGTCAAAAGTATATGGTACTCTAATTATGAAACCTATCGTTAAGAACGGAATGGAATATTTAGAAATCGATGATTTTTCATTGAAATTCATAGCTTCAAAATTAAATTTCAAATTGGATAATCTGTTCAATGGTGACAAGGCTTTAGGTAAGTTTATATTGTGTTCAATTTTCGAATGGTATTCATTTTAAAATAGTGTGAGATACTTCCTAGAAATAAAAATGTTTATATTTCTATAAATAGTATTTACTATATAGTAATTGTAATAATATTATAATTGTAATAAATCTAGACACAAATTACTCAATATAAATTTAATTTGAAAACGTTTTATAATACATCGTTTAAATTTATAGATATACTTAGATTATATTTAAAATAAAAAAATTAACATTAGTAATGTAACGTGCCGCCAGTTACTTGACAGTGCCACAAAAATATTAAAAACTTTGTCTTCGAAAGTGGGATAAGTTCAAAGACAACTCAAAAACTTTACAGTATTATTGGTTATTTATTAAACACTTAGAAATTTTATCAATGAAAGTATAATTTATAACGATGACTGACATAAGCCAGGCATTTATACTAGATGGCTGGAAACTTCTGAATATCGGTATCGATCGATCCTGGGCTCTTGTATAGACTGGTTGATTGTGTTTAAACCTGAAGTCGACCCCTTGTGTGACGCTCGTGTGTATAGTGATTTCTTATTTTTAATTACTTGAGTCATTAATTATTAAAGATTATACGTTCACACGTGTACAATATGATTTTCTAGAAATCGGTTAGTCATTTCATCTTTTACTTATTTTTAATTAAATGAGTTACTAATTATTAGTATGGGGTTATTCGGTCTCACGCGAACAATGTGATTTTTGAGAATCAGTCATTTAATTTTTATTTAATTTTAATTAAATGAGTCACACGCGTACTATATGGTTTTTTATTATTAAAAACATATGTATACATATATATTTATATATATATATATAGTTTTATTTGTGTGAAAGGATACCGTATTCTCATACAGAAAATATTATATTAACAGAGATTTGTGTATTACATTATTGTTTTATATTAGTAATATGTAGCATATTCAGTGGCGTACCCAGAATTTTTTTTTGAGGGGGATTATAATAAATGTAACGTTAAATTTTTTTTTTGAATTTTGTGTGTTTTTATTATAATCAATAGACAATATACATACACTTAAAATTTTTGTTGGGGAGGTTAAAACTTCCTAACCCTCCCTAGATACGCCACTGAGCATATTATAGTAATAACCAAGGCTCGGAGTTTTAAGATTTTGCATGTCTGTTTAGAAAGTTCCTATTGAAATTCTGGTTTGATAAAAATTTGATTCAAAATACACAGATTTCAATACTAAACATTTTTGTTGCATAATTTTTCATGTTTCGACATTTTTTGTAAGAATTTGCATATTTTAGGTTTAAGAACTTTTTTATGCATATTTCATATACTTAACGTAACAGTTTTTTTGTTACAATTTTGTTCAACAAAAAATATTATATACATGATGCCCAAAATTCTAAATTTTATATCGTCTGAACAAATAAATAAACTTATCAATGGCTAATTTATTATTGCTCCAGAAACACTAAACAATGATGTTATAATCTTTGTTTTACTAAGAAATCAAAAATAGTGATCGCCAATTGGCCAGAATTTATTTTTTTCAAAATTTTCAAAACATTTTTATTGTATCAATATGTAAACAGTTCATTATTAGTCTTTTTAAATTAATACTAAAGAAGACTAAAAGTTTGATGAATATTCAATAGTTTAAGCAACAATTAAGCTATACAGTTAAAATTAATACACTTAAGTTATACATTTGTATGGCAGGAAGTTACAACAATACATACTTTAAGTGTGCAGCGTTTATTATTTTTTTAATTTAATTTAAATTTATTTTCCCATGTACCTAATTTATGTAAATTATATTTTATTCAATAAATTACATATTATAATGTTTTTATCGCATATGAATGCGCATATTTGAATATTTTTTAGCGCATAATGTTTCTAGCCTTGGTAATAATAATTAAAATGTTGTTCGCTATATTCCTGAATGTTTATTACAATTAATATTTAATTATCATATTATATCACTGTTTTGGATTATTATTATGTTGTATTTTATGTCGAATTTTGTTTCATTTTAAATTCTTGGCTAAATTTAATGTTTTGTTCTTTGATATGATATTCAGTAAAAGATAATTAAGATTAAATATTTATGCAAATCTATAAGACATAGTATAAAATCCATTTTTTTTTATTCTTGCTGAAAGATACAGAATTTTCAAGAATAACTTACTACGTATTATAAAAACGGTATAGAATAACGTATTTGAAATTGAACAATTTTGATCGCATAAAATTAGAAATAAATTTGATTTACGCAAAAGAAAATATAAAATTTAAAATTAACCCACTTTTTGTTTTAACATTAAAACTGAAGACAATATTTAGTTAATGTTTCATTCAATTGACTTAAGGTAATGACATTTAATTTGATAACTAATATTATTATATTTTTTTTATTTAATCAATTCAATAGGAGATAACATGAATGTATTCTTAAATGAGAATTGGAAAGAATTACTCAATGAACTACAACCGGCTGTCGAAGCAGTTTTCGCTACCGCATTCAAAGGAATTGGTCAGCAGTTTTTAAACCGTATTCCAATCAACCAAATTATCACAGACTAAATTATGACCAATAATTATTATTTCTTATTTGGTCTTTGTTAAGTAATATTGCATAAGGCAATTTTTCACAAGTATTTGGTTATAGATCTATTGCAACTTTTGAATATTCTACACTGAAATTAATAATATATGTAAATTAAATATGTTTATTAATAATAAATATGCTTAGTTTTAGATAGTAATTTACATTGTATTTTACATTTATTACTACTTACTGTTTGTGGATTCAGTTTATGTTGTAGAATAATTAATATTTATTTTCATTAAATGTATTTATAACAATTAAATAGTCTTACGATTAAAATTATTAAACACAACTTCAATTTATGTTATTATTGATTGAAATTAATCATCTGTTTTTTTTTTTTTTTTTTGGCATGGTTCAGAATAACAGCACATTTTATAATAAGTAACCATCATACATCACATCCATGTATACAAATATATAATACTATTATTATATTATATCATGTTATATTATAATTTGGGATGAATGTTTGGTTGCATATTATTCGCTTTTTTTTTTTTTGTCACTCAAAAAATAATAATCGTGAGGAATATTCATTGAAGACCTATATTTTTGTTTTATTTAGATGGCATAATTTTTGAAAAAATTATATGAGCAATTTATAGAAGATGAAATTTTGATGTCCTCTTAGGTGTTTTTCGAAAATTACGATAAAATATTTTTGTTATGATATAAAGTCTTAAACATTTAATACAATAATCCTTATATATATATTTATTTCTAATTAATTAAAAATAATTAAGTTTAATTGAAAAAAAAAAAAAATTGAGCTTTAAATATTATATTTGACAAAACGTTTATAATTTTAAAAATTTGTTTTTTTTTTTGTTGTAAAAAATTCAAAAAGATTTTTAATTTTTATACTGACTTTCTTATTTTAATCTAACCATATTCATTATAATTTTAAAAAAATTTCATAGTTTCAAAATATTTTAATAAATGTTGTGCTGTTTTTAGTCACATATTAGGTTTAGAAACTTAACTCGGTGAATATTTAAATATTCAGATAGTTATCAATCTAAACACTGAACGATTGCAGCTCTGCCACGTGGTACTCAAATTTATCTGTTATTATTCATACCAAATAAGACTGTAGGTATGTTTAATACCTATTCAAAAAGACAAAATGTAATGAAATAGCAAAAATATATGCTAACATTAGCAAACGATTACAAAGATACATTTTCCATACTCTTAGAATCTAATAAATAATACATATAAACGCGTATTGTAAAAAAAATATATTAAACATAGTTCTTACGATCGATATAAGAAGAAAAATAGCATGAAAAAAGAGTTGGTATATTTTTGTTGTTTATTGGTTAATAAAATAACTATTCCGGATACTCTTTTTAATCAATATTATATGACATAACTAAACCTCATATATTAAATAAAACTATCATCGTGTTTCACTATTTTAAATGTATGTTATTATTTGTATGTAATATTAAAAATTTTTTTTTTTTTATGTCAATATAAATTTTGATGATCATGACCACGAATTATAAGGTTGATCAGCCTATGAGTCATATGCAGTAGTCCGTACGAAATTTAAAATACTAATTATAAATTTAACTGGACTGGAACTAAAAAATATAAATTTACTCCAAAATTAATAAGAAGAGTTATAAGTCCGTTAAGATATAGGTTAACTCTATTCATTCTAATAAAAAACAATATATATATTGCTTTTTATTAGTACATTTTTTATATTGTATTTTATTATGACGAATGATAATAGTATATGTTTTTAATCATGTAATATTATACGTATTCATTTTAATCATTTATTGATTTAGTATTTACATCGTTTTATAAACTATAAAATGTTTAATTAATTTTATAATTGAAACGTGAAATTTAAAACCAAATATTAGTATCGAATGAATTTGTAATTGTGTAATAACATTTTTAGTTTGTTAAAAAAATTAAATGTAATATAAATTCAACACTTTTTCTTTAATGCTTGTTATTAAATACTACGCGCTCTATTGAAGACGTTATAAAAGTTAAAAGTGAATAATGAATGATTAGGAAGTTAACATTTCCTCAAAATACTTATAACGTTTATCACATGTGATAATTGACATGTTTTAAAAAGCAGTATCACTTGAAAACTAGTTTGTCAATTGAAATGTAAGAGATATTAATATTTAAGTTATAAAAGACAGTAGGGATAGAAGGTTATGTTAAAGTATATGAAGATATATGGTATCATTATGGTTTTACTCAATCGTTTGGTTAATGTCATTACGTCAGAACATTGTAGACATAAACTAATCCTCATTGTTAGTTAAAAAGGGTAGCATATTGTCAAACCTATCTTGCAGTGTTACCAACCATAAAATATGACTAAATGCGTTGGTGAAATTATTTGTTGTTTTTTCTACATCGGAATCGTTAAATCTGGTCCTTCCACAGAGTTGCGTAAGTATTTTATAGTATTAAAATCGTATTATTCTTGATTAAAACATCATGATAGTCAGCTTTCATTATTTTTAATTGTCTGTCAGTAGTGAATTTTGAGTTAGATTTTAAAAAATAACACGTGTACATTTATAGTATGGCTTAAGTCGTTATGACACGGAAAAGAAACTATAACTTGGAACTTGTGTAAGCATATTGAAGTATGTAAGCAATGATTAAGTTTTATTTTAAAACAATCGATAAATATAATTTTTATCCAATTTTATGAAAGCAGTATCAGTATCAGAGCACTCGAACGAAGTTTATTTTATGAGAATCACTAAAAATTTCTAGGTGTATCATGAAATATTGCTCGAAAGTCAATGATATTATTATTTTTACCAATTAAATACGTCATTGTGTAGATATACTAAAAAAAGTCAGAAAATAAACGTTACATTTTGGTTTTTTTCTACATACATGTATTCTACGATTTTTACATTTTTATGTAAATTTTATTCATGATATTTTAAATAATGTTGCATATCTACTATAACCGATTTCCCTCACAACTATACGCCAGTAGCTATTAAACTAGGCCTGATTTCTTTAGCTGAGCGTCAAAGTATCACTGGTATTAAATTCCTTGCAGAGTTATTAAACAATGATATCGATTCACTTAACCTGCTTTCTCTGATCTGCTTTAAAGTTCCATCTCATCCATCTCGTTCCTTTGCCTCCTTTTATATTCCATTTTCTACTACCAACCATATGGCTAATGAACCTTTAAGGCGTCTTACAACGATAGCCAACTCCGATCCTGCATTTAACGATTTGTTAATAACTTGATTGTAATATACTATGTTATAAATTATTGTATAATATTAATTGTTATCTCAAATGTTGTATGTTCAAAAAGAGCCTAACCCGTATAATTAAATAACTAAAAAAATAAAAAATAAATAACTGTAGCTTGCAAAATAATTGTATGGTAGAAGGGATGAGAAGGGGCTCGATACAGAGTCGTAATATTGGAATTAGAAAATAAATAATAAAATGATATCTGATAACATGGTTTAATTATGATATAACTTCTCAATTTACATTTATGTACAGTATATTTTTTGAATAATCAAAGGTAAAATGTTTATAAAATACATAAAATATATTGTACTTATAAAAATAGGTTCTTTTGGAGAACCTATACTGTTGAACTCAAACAATTAAACTGGTATATTTTGTTACCTTTTTATTTTCATTCAATGAAATGTATAGGAATACAAACTTAATATTGAATAATTGTTCATAGTTAATATTTTGTTGAATAGTTGTAATTTATAAAACTTCATTATTATAAATAGTTAATTCAAAAATTCGAGCTGATAACTATGAATAGTTAAGTGGTAGGTTGTTTACATTCCCATAAAAGGTGATTGGGATTTTTAATTTTTATGGGACATTTTCTACTTTTAATACTAGACACACATGGAAGTCTTTATTAACAGAACCAGTTCTAAATATTTGAATAATAATTTTCTTAAACTTAAAATTAAATTAATGTCGTGAATTTTATTTTATGATACGAGTGCTTATTAAAAAGAATCTTAATCTTATAATTATTTATGCTATTCTTTTTTTTTAATTTTACAAATCAATTTTTATATACAATCACTTTTTATACTTAACTTTATATTACAATTTAATAGTTATAACCAGGGCCTCAAGAGTTAAATCATTTGCTTATTTTTATGGATTGACTTAAAATCTAGCAGAGTGCTGTAAAAGTGTAAGTCAAGTTATAACACTCACAAATATGAAATTTTAAAGTGCCTTTTTTTGCTTCTTTCAGTAATTTTTAAAAAAAAAAATGCTTATTTCCAGTTTTTCTAGTTATTTTTGCTTATTTGATTAGTTTTTTTTACATTTTTATATTTTTCTCCTGCAAGGTTTTTTTTGATAGAATTAAAAATAAAAATAATTCTTATTTTATTTACGTTATCACGTAGTTCTTCGCCATCCAAGGCATCGTTGTAAGACTAACAAAGATATTCCAACGCTGAAAATAGAACTGAATGTCAAACTTCAGAATGATCAAAAACAGAAAGAACAATTTACATTTTATTTTTCAGAAAAATCTCTTAGAAAATCCATAAAATCCTTAAAGTCTTGAAAGTGAAGATTTATTTTTATTTTGTTTGATTTTAGTTAGAATTTTATTGTTGGTTTTTTTTTTTTTTTGAATAAATATTTTTTGCTTAATATTAAATTTTTTAAATGCTTATTTTAGTGCTTATAATGATGTTCTAAAGCGCTTATTTTAATGATTTTAAGTGCTATAAGTCCCGAGATCTGGTTATGTCATAAAATATCACATTATCACTGATGGAACTTTTTTTAAAGATAATTCATTATTTTTGATACAATATTAGTGTGCGAGTGTTTTCAATACATAGGCTAAGAAATGCAAATAAAATAAAACTTCTTAGATGTAATACTCGTTTTCCAAATACACAACCCAAAAAAAAATCACAACTTTTAATAAACTGTTAACAAGGTCTGTCTATTTTTTATTTGCATTAATTTAATAACAAAGAAGAAAATACATTTAATGGTAACATATTTTTTTTTGATTAATTGGATTCATTTATAGCAATAATACATTTATTGGGACCAGGTATCCTCAATTTTTTTATTTTGAGAACTTCTCAGAAAATTCTTTACTATTAGACCAAATTGG